GCTACATCAAGCAAAATAGTTTCCCTCAACATTTCTAGAAGTCTTACTAACATTTAGTAATATATAATATGTATTGAGTACTTACTATGAGTCAAGCACCATTCTAAGCTAACATGTATTAATTCATAATCCACACAAAAACTCTACCAAGCTGACACTACTCTTATCCATATTTTCCAGGGGAGGAATCTGAGGTACAGTGCCCAAAATCACACTGCTAGTAAGTAGCGGAACTGAGATTCAAACCCAGGCACTCTAGCCCCATAGTCTGCCTATGTTTTTCATCACTGCATGCAACCTAATTTTGATCTTCCAGGCTATGAACACTCTACCATGTAGTGTCAGTTATCTTTAATTATAGAACCAAGAACTAGACAAATTCCTAGCAAGTTATATATTGACTGTAACTAAAAATACATCCCACAGATTCTAGGCGATACCCTTCCTGTAACACATCCAAACATATTATCTGATCACTTTTCCCAAGCAGGAAAAGGGAAAAGGAAGTAAAGCCAGCTGATGGGTCTTGGGTAGCAGTTGTGTGGGGAAAGGAAGACGAGAAATATCAAATCGAAGTCCAAGAGAGAATTCTACAGTTGATCTCAAGTGCTTAAAACAGGTCATTAAAGCAAAGCCAGAGGCATATACAGCACATGCTGGGAACTAAGGTCTAAGGCCAGCAGGAGTCGGATAATCAGGGAAGATGACAGCTGGCAGGTAATCTAGCCATATCCTGGAGGCAGGGGCAAATGACTGCTGTGGAAATCTCACATGCTTTCAATGTGTGTGTACATACAGGACAGGTCCATTTAAAAGAGCCAGAAAAGAAAAAAATAAATAAATAAAAGAGCTAGAAGAGGACAATCATATAAGGGTAATACAATTACATGACCATCAAAGCTGGTATACACTACGTAAGTATGGAGGCATGCACGTAAGGTCAACAATAAGGGCATGCTAGTAGTAAGGTGAGGGATAAGCAGTGCGATTCAGACCACAAAATTCCAAAGGATCAATGATAAACTACACAGGGGAATTACACATTAAAATAAAATTAATACACACTCAGATGAAATGTGAAAAATTAAAAAGTAAAAACTTTGACTAGTTGTAACTCTTACTTAGGTTTTGTTTTCACTATGTAGCTCTTCAATACAATCCAACAAACTTATTGGTCTATCCTAACGCATTAGATGGCAGACATCAGGAATTACAGGGGACTCAAATACCATTAAACTGCAGCCCCACAAGGTACTTACAATCCACTCTTTTACTAATACAAGTAAACAACTGTAGCTCTACAAGGAACGTTAAGAAAAGAATGGGACACGGGCGCCTGGGTGGCTCTGTCGGTTAAGTGTCTGACTCTTGATTTCAGCTCAGGTGGTGATCTCAGGGTCTTGAGATCAAGCCCCACGTCGGGCTCCTCACTCAGCGGGAAGTCCCCTCACACGCACACGTGCTCTCTGTATCTCTAAAATAAATAAATAAATCTTTGAAAAAGAAAAAAGAAAAAAAGAGCAGGATGGATGTAAAAACATTTAGTGGGAGGAGGGGGCATTTAAGATTTGGCTACAGTCTCCAGTTTGAAGAATGGGCAATATAAGACAAGAAGTGATGATGGACACAACTAGGGTGAGGGCAATGGGTATAAATGAAGGGATGGATGTAAGAAATACTGAAGCCCATAAGATGGGTCAACTTCTGTGGTCAAATGTGCAGAGGAATCAGAGATGACACTAAGAATTCAGGAAACATCTTCTTCCTTGATAAAGTCTATTACTTCCAAAGACACTAGGAGAGGCCCTGGAGAGAGAGGGCCTCACGGCAAGATAGGAACCACTTTACCTCAGCTTCCCTTGCAGATTTCTGCTTTCATTACCACTCAGCCTTCAAGGGAGTGGCTGCTCGCCCTGGACACTTTGACTAAAGCCAATTAATGGCCCTTCACTTAAATCATACCACCCCCAGAGTGAGTTTGGGGTTCTCCATTTTTACCTCCATAGTATAGTTGAGACAAAGCCAACACATTGAGCAAGACTTCACTAACAGCTAGGAGATATTAAAAAAAGAAATAACCCTAAAAGATACAACGAATCAGAAGCAAGATACAGTTTAGTCCTTTCTGGTCCATGGAGTCCAGCAGGAATCAGGTCCTTCCATCCCTCAGGGTCTTCCCAGAGGTAGATACTATCTTTAGTGTCCACTGCTGGGGTACCCTCCTAGACGGGTTCCTCAAAGTCAGACCACAAGAGCGAACAAACAAGCACAGCCAGGTGCCCTCTCAAGAGCTGCTTTTACCCAACTGATTGGTCTGAGACATGACCTTCTCTTTATCCTGGTACTTCACTTTTCAACAATGCCAAACACAACCATTCCAACAAACAGCAAATCCACACACATAGTCACACACCAAATGCATAAACACGTCTATGGAAAGAACACATTAACGAAAATGGGAAAGTTTCAGAAAGGAGCTAATGAATAAAAGTTAAGAAAGAAAGAAGCTAGTGCTAGAAGGGAAACGACTTTGGTTTGGGAAATGTTAGATTCAGGGTGCCCAAAATACACCCAGGTAGAGATGCATACAAGGTAGAGAAACGTTAATGTGAGTTTATAAGAGAGGCTGACCCCGTAGATGTGTTAAGAAAATAAAAATAAAAACAAACAAACAAAAACAAACAGTTCTGAGAATATAGAGCGGAAAGTATAGAAAAGAGAGAAATGAGAGGAAGACCAACACCCGCACCCCACCTCCACCACACTGAGTGGGGTGACACAAGAGGAAAAGGAGGACCCGGCAAGAGAGAGGCAGAAAGAGAAGGCAGTAAGACAAGAGCGAGGCAGCCTTCAAGAAAGAGGGAGCGGGAGACAGTCCAAAATGCTGTAGGATTAGGAAAAGCTGATTGGATTTAAATTTAAAAACAGAGCAACAGAGCTGCCTTTTGAGAGACAGGATTTCGTATACTAAGGGAACGTCAGAACAGGGGGCTGCAGAGTGATCAGCTCGTGGAGGCGGGACGAGTGTCCGTCCTTCTCGAGGACCGTGACAGTGGAGGGAAGGAGAGAGCCTACCCCCGGCACCACCAGCATCACCAGCCCCGGGGCCTCTGGAAGCACAGGGACTTTGCCCGCTCTGCTCACTGCTGCATCCTCAGCGCGAAGACCAGTTCCTGGCATGTAAGGGGTACTCCATAAATATTTGCTCACGGAATGGTGTGTTTATTCAATCAATGTTGCTGTTTGATGAGATAAATGAATTAGTGAATGAACACCGTAATGATATCTGAGGAAGTCTGAGACAATACTCTTGTTACAGCATTGCTGTGATTCAGGTATCAATGTGGGCGATAGAGCCTGTAAGCACAGTTCACATCACTGTACTTGGTTGAAGTTAGTCTTTTTGACAGTAATCTGAGGAGAAAGAGAATCTTTTAGGCCTGATCCTGAATTTGGGGAGGCAACCCTTGAGTGTCTGCAGAGTAGAAATCCCTCTCTGCCTTGACCCATAAAGAGATACTGAAAGGAGCTCCTGAGGGGTGGGTTGTGAAGAAGGGGTTCTCCACATGGGGGACAGTGGGGAGCAAGGAATTAAGAATCCAGGTGAGTGCCTGCAAGGTTGTGAAAACCCTTTAGGACTAGAGGTCACCGATCTCAGGCTGCTACTCATTCTCCTACTCGGTATTAAACCCGTTCATTCTGCCCCACATTTAAAGTCTTGGTAAAGTTCTGATCTGGGTATGAGAATATAACGGGGTTTGGGCAGCACCGGGGGACAGGAGGATGGCCAGCACTGGTGGCAGGAGAAGCAGTATCAAGAGTGGAAGAACCCCCAGGATCAATAATGTGGGGTGAGAGCCAAGACACCTTGAAGATTCAAGGATTTGTTACATTAGATGACATGGTATTCCTTTACAGGGAATATAGGAAAGAACTTTTTTTTTCCCTGTTGCTTCTCATTTTGTTTTTGTTTGATTCAGACAAAGGAGAAACTGAGCAGATACGCAGTCCAAATGGAGAAAACTGGTGGAGAGCAATAGAAAGAAGGTAGGGTTGTAAGGATCAATACAACGTAATTAAAGAAAGCCCTGGAAGAAAGAAGAGGCCATGAGACCCAAAGGCTAGATGGGAAGGTTCCTTTTTACAAAGTGGTATAAAGAAGGATTGAGAATAAAGAGATACAAAACAGATGGGAGACACCTGGTGAGGCTTACCTGGAAGTTGGGGGACAGGGCCAGCTAGTGGGCTTACAGAGCATAGAGAGTTCACACAGCTACTGGGGAAAGGCCACCAGGGAAGCCAGTGAATAAGAAGAGGGTTTCTGCAGTCGTGAGGGGCTAGCTCACTGGAATTTCCAGAAATTCTAATTAGCACGATTTAATACTATTTACGGCAATATTTGGCAAACCGGAAAGGTTTTTTGCAATTGGAGATGCAGTCCTACCCTGGAGCCAATTTTGGCTCACCTAATGGATCTGCTGCATACTGAGTCATAATAACAGGATAAACACACCTCACAGCAGAATCATCTCATTTTAGAAACAATTCTAAAGACAGGTTCTAATCAAAGGAATCACAATTAATCCACCCTGCCTATTTTCCTTCAAATGGAGCCAAGTTGTACTATTTCATACTAAGATCATCAAGGTCTTCCAGAGGGAAGAAATCTTAAAAATCATCAAGTCCAACTTCTCACTTATTATGACTTCATTTTTAGAAATCCATGGCAGAAATTATCAGTGCACACTGGCATCCATGTGGTGCTTTACATTTTTAAGCCTCCTTGGGGGAGCACCTGAGGCCACATAGCTGAGCTCTGGCCGATGGGACATTGGTGGACGTGATCTAAGTCACTCCCAGATCTGGTCCTACCTTGGATTGAGAAAGACCATCCAATTTGCATCATATCAAACTTTGCTTGGGAGAGAGATAAACTTCCATTGTGCTACTCACTGACTTTTGTAGATTTGTCTGTTTCAACAGCAAGTATTCATTGATTCTCAAGCCTTCTTTGAATAACCTAACAACTCAAAGAACTGCCAGTCATGCTAGAGAAAGAGATGGAGATTATTATTGCTCACAGATCCAAAAGATTAAGAAGACAGAAGCAGTCAGGAAACTCATTTTTATAATATAGTAGCATCTTGGTTATCTAAAGGGTATTATTTGAGACATAACCTATAGAAGTTAAGGCCCTACCCCTGAGAAACAGGAAATAAACAGTAGAGGTCCTAAATAACCCAGCCTGAAAGCTAAATAAAGTGTTAGAGGTTCACTCACTAGTTAGTCTCTCAGACTCTTTGTATTTATTCAAGTTATCTTGGAGTAAATAAGTCAATCTTAGAAATCTGTTTATCTCACATCGGATAAGAAACTGGAAATTGATCTGTTTCTGCTTTGTTTGTTCATTTGTTTTGTTTTTTAGATTCCACATATAAATGAAATCATATGGTATGTCTTTCTCTGTCTTTTTTCACTTAGCATAATAACCTCTAGGTTCAACCATGTTGTCACAAAAGTCGAGATCTCCTTTTTTATGGCTGAATAATATTCCTGTGTGTGTGTGTGTGTGTGTGTGTGTGTGTGTGTGTGTGTACTACATTCTTTTTATCCATTCATGTATTTTTGGATCCTTAGGTTGCTTCCATATCTTGTCTATTCTAAATAATGCTGCAATAAACATAGGGGTACATATATCTTTTCTATTTAGTGCTTTTTTTTTTTACCCAGTAGTGAAATTACTGGATCATATGACATTCTATTTTTAGTTTTTTGAGGAACCTCTCTATACAGTTTTCCACACTGGCTGCACCAATTTAAATTCCCACCCAGAGGGAAGATGGGTGGGGAGATGGGCAAAATGGGTGAAGGGGAGTGGGAGTATGGGCTTCCAGTTACTGAATGTACAAGTCTCAGGGATAAAAGGTATCACACAGGGAAATACAGTCATGGTTTTGCAACAGTGTTCTATGGTGACAGATGGTAGCTATGCTTGTGAGCATAGTGGAATGTATGGAGTTGTCAAATCACCTTCTACTCCTGAAACTAATGTAACATTGTGTGTCAACTACACTTCAAAAAAAAAAAAAAAAAAAGAAAGAAAAGAAAAGAAATAGGAAGTTGGAAGCAATAAGGACTGGTGCTAGAAGGGACCAAATCACAACATTCTGAGAGTGAAGGAGAGATCAGAATTCTAAAGGCAGAATTTCCAAAAAGCAAGGTAAAGATTTCCATTTTATAACTGAGCCCCACTACTTCTCAGAGTCCTGAAGGCTCACTGGAGAAACTCAACCCACAACTGACTAGAAAAAAAAAAGAAAAAAAATGACTTAATGTTCTCAACTAGCCTTTGTAAGCCTCTAAGGAAGGTACAAATGTATTTTTAAAAAATGTCTGCAGGGCGCCTGGGTGGCTCAGTTGGTTAAGCGACTGCCTT